TGATGACCCTTTCCAAGGACTGGTCTCTGATAACATGTTCAAACTACTGAGACAAAGTCTCAATATCCTTGTTTCTAAGAAACATTCTGGCTGTACTTCTCCATGACAGATTTATTTGTTCTTGTGGCATTTTCTGGTACTTTAAGTATTCTTCTCCATCATAGTTCAGATGAATTGATTCTTCTCCAGGCTTCCTTATTCAGTGTCCAACTTTCACAGGCAGATGAGGCTATTGAAAATACCATGGGCTTGGGTCAGGTGCACCGTAGTCCTCAAAGGAATTTCCTTGCTTTTCAATACTTCAAAGAGGTTTTGTGCAGCAGATTTACCCAATGCAATGTGTAGTTTGTTCTTGACTGCTTCTTCCATGAATATTGATTATGGATCCAAGCCAGACCAAATCCTTGACAACCTCCATCTTTTCTCCATTTATCATGAGGCTCGCTACAACTCCAGTTGCAAGGAGTTTGGTCTTTTTTACATGAGTTGTAATCCACACTGAAGGCTGTAATCTTGATCTTCATCAGCAAGGGCTTCAGGTTCTCCTCACTTTCAACAAGCAAGGTTATAACATCTGCATGTTGCACGTTGCTAATAAGCCTTCCTCCAATCCCAATGCCACATTCTTCTGCATATAAGCAGCTTCTCTGCGTGTGACCCCTTTATTGCCATCTTTGTTTCATTGCAATGGTCTGGGTCGGAACCACAGTATCTTCACAGTAAACCTGCAGTCACCAGATCATTAGCAGACTACTGAGGGCTTAATCCCGACCACTGCGCCTAAGCAACTATCACAATAAAGTGAGGCACATGCATCTTTGGGGTTCTCAGTGCATAGTGAAGTTATGTTTACAAGATCCTGAAGTTTACAAAGTGTGCAGTAGCATGACGGGAGAGGTGGGAATCTTGTGAGAATGACCATCGGGCCCAGAGATAAAGCAAGCACATGCTGTCAGAGAAGTGGTCCCGGGAGACTTGCTCACACAGGGTTGCCACAAACCTCCAATGGTTCATCAATGCAGCATCTGCGAGGTGCAACAAGGGCAAGCCCCATAAAACCAGGGTTTTCCTGTATCAGGCGGTCCTGTTCTCAGTTCTGCAAGGTTCTCCCACTTGAGTAAACAAAGTCCCTGCTGAAGTCCTTATGGTATTGACATTGCACTTACCTGGGTGCTTTGCTTTGACCCATGGAACGGTTAGCACATGGGCTGAATTGTTAGGCATGCTTGGGTGCATTGGCTTGGCCTCTGGCCATCAGAAGAACATGCCCCAGCATGTCCAGGATAGGATTGCCCTTGCCAATCTAACAAAGAGGCTGTAACAGTTTAAAACCAAAACTCACCACCATCAAGTTACTATCAACTCATAGTGATCCCACAGGACAGGGTAGAACTGCCCCTGTGGATGTCTGAGACTGTAATGGTTTATGGGAGCAGAAAGCCTCGTCTTTCTCGCAATGGCTTCAAACTGCCGACCTTGCCAGTAGCAACCCAATTTGTAACCATTATGCCACCAGGGATCCTAAGGGGTGGTGAACAGAGGTCAAATTCTGGATCTGTTCTGAAGAGAGGGCCTTCTAAAGGATTTGTTGATAAACTGTATGGAGGTTGTGAACGGGAGGAACGTCAACAGCCCTGTAGAACTGGAAGAGTGGGCTCGCTGAGCTGAGACTGAGGCCAACTGTAGAACAATCTGCTGTAAGAGGATAGCAGTGGCTCAGTCTTGCATGTGACCAGTTTGAGACATCTGTGAGTCATGCAATGATGTCAAACAGGCTGGTAGATATTGGGGTCTAGAGTTCAGCAGCATGGCCGGGGCTTGGGATACACATTAGAAGCCAACAGCATGGGTCCTGGGGAGGAGATGAGCCAGTCTGGGTGCAATGTAGCAACAATGAAACATACAACTTTCCTCTAGTTCCTAAATGTTCCTCCCCCCATCCCCACTATCATGATCCCAATTCTACCTTACAAATCTGGCTAGACCAGAGGATGTACACTGGTACAGATAGAAACTGGAAACACAGGGAATCCAGGGCGGATGATCCCTTCAGGAACAGTGGTGAGAATGACGATACCTGGAGGCTGGAGGGAGGGTGGGGTAGAAAGGGGG